ACCTAATCGGGTTAAAATTCGAGCACCAATTAGGGGCTGATAACAGGAGCCCGGGTAGCCGCGATTCAGCCAAGCGTTAAAAGATTTTGGCAAATGGAAACGATTCAATACTTGTCATCAGATAAATCTTCTCAAGCAATTTCACAATATTCTGATTTAATAACTACGCAAAACATTTAAAATGAAAACAGTCAATTTGGCCTAATTTGAGAATTACAACAGGAATGAATTGCGGCGTTTAACAAACATTTACCCTTGAAGTTTTGGCCCCTTTCAATCCCTCGAAATCATTTCACGCCTCACTGAAACCCGGTTAACTGGGATCATGTAAACAGCCCCTTAACGTTCTAATATCACCATGTGTCGAACTCAGCACTGGAACGAAAATTACCACCATGTAATCGTTTTTAACGTAGGGCTGAGTTTTTTAACCATATTTAGTCAATTGATGTCGGCTAGACATGATTTTTATGTTTTATATTTCTGGTGTCTATTGGATTAGATTCCTGTTAATTTCTAATTACTTTTTAACTAATTGCCAAAGGCTAAACTTTGTTTTGGAGGACCCCAAACAGATTTTTAGAGTTTTTGTATTTATGTAACACGGCGATTTGTAATTTTCAGGGTGCCAATTTAGCACCCTTTAGGGAAATGAAATATGGAGCTTTTGGCTGCGTACTTCTATTAAAAATGGACGCCATATTGAAAAGCAAACAATGCTTTTTGTTTGAAATGTTACGCCACAGGATACAGCAACAATAGAAGATTTATTTTGTGGTAAATGATCAGTATTTGGGCATAAACTTCAAGAAATAGTTATTTTTGCATACGGCTTATGCTTAAGTCACAAAATAAATTTACAAACGTTACATGAAGTAGTTCAAACCATTAGTAAAGCAATCATGTTTATTGCAAGAACTACGGAAAAGTTTTGAGGATTATTCAACAATTATTTCTACATTATTAAATAATTTAATGTGGAAATTTTGTGCTGTTATTTAAAATTTGGAAGTCCCTTTGGAACTTTTCGAAGATAGATGAATGTTTTTTTTTAATGTGAAGGCACAAGCAAAGTGTTAATAAAGGCAGGTAAAGAAAAAGTGAAAAAAATCATTGACACAGGAAAAACTAGAGGAGATTCCATTCATGAATGGTTAGAAAAAGAGAATCCTTGAAGGGAATCCTGACATTCAAATACAATGTTGCAAGTCTTGTGTATCATCGTATACATCACTGACCAGTGGCGTGCGGTGACCGAATTTAATAGGCAAGCGCTGGGGTCGTGGTGTACGTGAAAATACCGAATGTAGAAGTAGAACATAAAAGGATGAAAATTCCTATGCTATATATTTTATAGGAACATCAATCTTATTTATACCTTACATCAGTTACATGATATCTACCGGATACAAATATCAAAACTACTACGCAAAAGGAAGCTCTTGTCAATATCATAATCTTGTATTACATGCTACAGATAATATCTTCTACATACATAAATTGCAAGACAATAGGCGCGAAATGTATTGTAGCAGTCGTGATTATAACAATTAAGAACAGCCAGTTTCGCGCACAAAATTGGCACGGTGTGTTACAAACTGAGGCCATGACGTTGTTTAAAGTTTCTATTTTGGTATAATGACGTCATGGCAACGTGTTCTCCCGTTCTTCAAAATGTGTCTGGCACTGACTCGTACGTTTCAGAATATCGGAGAGTCGTGTTTATTATTTAGTATCTTGTACCTTTTATTTTTAGTCATTAATTTACGAATTCAACGACACAAGACTGACAAGAGCATAGTGTTTTGGTCATAATGCTAGTCATACTTTACCACAACACACGTTTGCGTGCATTTCGATATCTCTGCAGACTGCGGCCCCTGCTTGTTTACGCACATTGTGCGCAGAAAATAATAAAATAACCAGTAAAGCACCTACTACTTTGAATTAGAAATCAGAACATTACCTTTCGCTCTCAGTCATCTTTTAATAAACGATAACATTAACGGCGTGAATAATTCGGATGTCCAATGTGTTGAATATACGAATATTATTCGTGCGCTGATATGTGTTTAAAATTGCGAGCGTACAAGACTGTTGACCAATCGCTATCAAGCGGCGCCCTTAGAAGCGCCGCTTGCCTTTTCTCGATATTCCTCGAATAAGAAGCCTCCAAATCTAGATTAACGCATGCGCAAATGTTCAAATTGAGCTCCGAAGGCAAGCGCGCTTGCCTTGGTTAATAAATAAGGAATTTTTAATTTGTATTTAATCTACTTGACTCATCTTACAAGTGTAGCAAAGTGAAACAGAAAACCACGACAGTAAATCGCGTATAAATAGCAAGCATTTCAACTGTAAAGACAATTTAGACAAAAGATTACATTGACATTGTTTAGAAAAGAAAAATTTAAACTGATTTTGCTCAGAGATTGATCCAAAAAATTTTTGTTCGGTAAAATGCTTAGGCAAGCGGCGCTTGCATGACCGCACGCCACTGTCACTGACCCATATAAGGCGTCATTTAAAGATTCAAAGCGTGAGTCAAGAAAAAACTGATGCTACAACTTGCTCGTTTGTTGTAAAACGTAAACGACAATCAAATTCAAGAACAACGTTTTCTTTCCAGGAAGACTGTGTTTTTTGCGGTGAAAAATGTTTTATGCGAAAGGATCCCCGTCACCATAGTCGATGGCATTCACTTACCTCAGACCCAAAAACTGGCCAGGATTACACAGCTTTACTTCTGATCAACAACTATATCGAGTAATGGTAAACATCCTTTTGGCGTATCCGCATATGTTCAAGAAATTCATCCGAGACATTGAGCAATGCATATGTTCGTGGGTTTTGTTGGATGCTCTGGATCACTTATGTCTGATATGGGTTTTAAAGAGATCCTTCAAGCGGCTTTTGCAGGTGTTGACCGTAAGCGTTCTGGTAAACGATTTCCTCAGAATGTCCGGACTCTGCGAATGCTTGCTAAGGAAATTTTACGAAATGTTATTAAAGATATCTAGTGCTTTGAGCACTTGACATTGGTAATGGAAGAAAAGGCTGAGAAAAGTAGGACAACAAAAATTTTGGTAGAAAGTTTCATTAAACCAGTGTTCATCATGATGATGTTTGTTCGGGCAGAGAAAGAGGGTGACTGGCCTTTATATCTTGGAGCAGTAGAGGCTATGATGCCCAATTTTTTGCGGGTGGGCATTTCAACTACGCAAGATATGGTTTATATAATTTGCGCTCAATGGAGCGTCTCCCGGCAGAACTTAGAGATAGATTTATGAAAGGGAAGCATGTAATACGCCATAAGCCTGGTTTATGGAATGAGTTTGGTCGGATATGTTTATCGAAACATTGTTTATGGGTTATTGTAATGGGCCAGGCGGCTAAATTAGTAAAACTTTAAACTCTTCAGCAATATCTCGTTGGGCATTCAGTCTTCATATTGCAGCCATCTGATTAAATGTGCTTCTGCAATGAAAGATGAAGAGGCATCATCAAACGATGTAGCTACCCATAACGAAGAAATGCCAGCACGTATATTTTCGGATGCAAAAAATCGACAGAAATTGAGGGAAAAGCTGCAATTATGTGTTGATCCACTAAATCCAGAAGGCCATTGTAAGAGTTTATTTAATATCGTAACTGGCAAAAATGCTCCAGAATTTGTCAAGATAGATGAAGCTGTGCGTCTTGGAAAGAATCAAAAATATTCCATAAATGTTCCATTACGATTCGTGTGTCTTTACATCATATATGAGTCATAAGATATCATTGTACTTTAAAAATCTGGATATGACTGTTCTATGTCAAAAACAATGACCTTATTTTTAAAATACGGTGAAAGATCAGGAAATAAATGCAAAAAGAAGTCATAAAACAGGTATGACTGAAAGAGTACATTTATGCAATATTAAAATATGTTTTTGTTATCGGGTTAAATTACAGTAATTTAGAAAATGTTCATATGGCCTTTGTCAAAATCACCACAAAACCCGACAATCTCTCGTTCGCAGCATTTTTTATTCAGTCAGTGGAAATGTTCAATAACAGCCAAATAATAAAATTTTAGATTCCTAACCTCTTTGTTTTATATGATCTTTGTAACTCATTTTGTATCTACATTTCTACAACATAGCATGCCTGTATCAGTACAGTTTGGTGGTACAGTTTGGATGGCTGAAATCTAGAAATAGAATGTGTCAGCCAATATATGAGCTCGTAAATTAGATTTTCACCAAGAGTGCCAAGTTGACACTCTTAAAATTATGAATTTTATATTTTGTAAAGATACAAAAAGTGCAAAAACCTGCTTGAGGTCCTTCACAGCTACGTTCTGTCTTAAAGTGCCATTTGGCAACCGGACTATAATTAGAATTTGAATTTAGTTAATTTAACACGCACAATAAAACATGCAAGTAAACAGCCATTTTCATTTCAAGAACGCTAGTCAGATTAATGACCCACATGCCACAATGGCTACTCCATTTTCACATTCTCTGCATGAACAAAAACTGGTAGTAACTGTAACGTATGGAGCAAATGCCAATAGCAAGCTGCTGTAGACCCAATTTGACTTTATATTTTCTTTACAACCCGCCTACAATAATTCACTAATTTTCTTAATTACACTTCTTTATTAACACTCTTTTGAGTAAATTCTGTTAGTAACTTATATGTCTTTTTATGTACATGCACTATTCGTGTTACGGACGGTAAAACTTGTATATTATTTATTGGCACAGGATCATGCACGTAGCCAGAACAATAATTGGGGGGGGGGGCATATTCATATACATTAATTTTATAATCCGTAAAAACAAATTTTATCTTTACGATAGAAAACATGCTCAATTGCATGCGCATATAAAATTTAAATAAAAGATTTCCAAATTCATTATTCACAAATTTTATTTTCTCTCCACCCACCCCCTCCCTAAGGGAAAGTATAGTTTTTTCCAGCTGTGATCTTTGGAAATGCTTCCATTGTTAAAAGATTATTTACATACGCGATGCAAAACAAGTCATACGTATTATTTTGATAGTTGCTTCTCATCAGACGAAGCAAAAACTTTAAGTAGTGGAACAAGCACTGAAATTATTGTAAGTTTTATTTTTATCGTATTCTCTTTATGATTTAACACTGGTACGCTTTGCCATAAAAATTTGCGAATTCTTTCTGTATATGTAATGACAATGCTCAAATTCCATTGCGTCAAACGTTTGACTTAAATGCCACAAGTTTGAATTTGTATGTAGTTTTAGTCTCTATTTATTTCTCCTTGTCTAAGATTATATTTTTAAAGGTATAGATTTTTACAAATAGCGAAAAATTTAGAAAAAAATTAATCAGACAGCAAGTACTAAAACAATTCCATACCATTGGGCTGGGGTGTTCGATTGTTACTCACTAATATATCGTTATTCTTATAAAATAGCGTTACAACAAGACCATTTTAAAGCTCTTATTATTTGGGCAACTTTGTTAGCGTGTATATTAAATATTTATTTTGTTCATGAGTCATGAGTTAAGAGACTTGAACTACGTAGGCGGGAATGGACACGTAAGCAAATTTTTCAATAAATAAATAAAATTCATAGGAAGATTGCTGTTGGCGTTGTTTAAACTATTTTCATCAGCTTATCATTTAGATCTTGACAAATTTCCATTGGTACTTCATGATGATTTGGTTGAAAACTGGTAATCGCTTGAAAACTCTATAAAATTGAAATTACATGGATTACTATGCAGCATTTCAATAAATACGATATTCAAGTTTATCGTTTGCATTTTTTCGTCTGTTTAACGTTTCAGAGGGAAAAAACTGTAAATCTTAAGTACATCATAACTGAAATAAATATTACTGAAAGATTGCCGATAAAAAGTTCGTATAACTTATCTTTGACATTGAAAACATTCAAAGTTACCGGTTCATTAAATGCACCATGCTAAGCAAACACTAAACGGAAAATTGAAGAATGATGAGAATATTAAAATGACTTGTTCTCTCACGTTCGAATTTATTTGCAATATGAATACGATATGAATAATACATATGTCGAAATCAACTATCTCAAGTGTTATTAAATATAAATAAGTAGATTGCAATGCAGTCTTCAAGAGCTTAGCTTGTTTTTAATTTGCTGAAATTTAATCGTTGTTGCTAATACCTGTATCTAACATCTTAAATTTTATTTTTTAGAAATTATTGTTTTCCTATCAAAGTAAAAACAAGTTGCTTTTCTTTCTGTCATATTGATGACATTAAAAATCATAATGATGATTAAATGTCCAAGCGCTTTGATAAAAAGCAAAAAAATACAATTGTCAAAGCCAAAATGATTAAGATACACTAAACTTAATTATTTTTATGATGCTTCGTTATTGGTCAACGCTGACTACATCGTACAGTACAAAATTCTTGTATATACATTCCACACACATCTTTATAGAAGTTCATTTCACTGACTTCTACACACGCAGTTCAACCAATAATTTATTAGAACTACCGCAAGTTTTTTTCTTGAATTTATGTATGGCACTTTTCATTAATGAGATTATTTCTTCCTGAATTAAAGACTGAACATTTCTATAAAGCTATTTGCATCAAAGACAGAAGTGATGTATATTATTTCAAATTGTATATTTTAATTAGCCATGTATACATCTACATGCATAATGTGCCTTTTAAAACATCGCATACAATTATCGTACCGTCTTTGATTAGTAATTTTTATTGGTACGGATTTTTTAGTTCTAACCATTTTGTCATTCAAATGGATCCAAGCTACAACTCCTCAGAAAGTCTGGTCAGAAACTCAAGCTTTTCAGAAGGTAACCTTAAAAACATTAGGTTCATTAATTCTCCGAACTCTTTTTAACTCGACAGATGCTTTCATCTTTGATTTTTCAATCTCAATGTTTTCGCATTTAAAGTGGAAAGATCCTTACATCAACTTTTCCATTCACAAGAACTGAAAATTATTTAGCAGTGGAAAAATCAAAAAGCAAGCTGACGCAATTTCTAAAGTTAACGAGAGTAAATTAAGTGTGGAAACAAGGTGTTGATAACTTTTAAGAGGAGCATTCAGTCTAAACATCCCTCAACGCCCTTTGAACTAAATATCCCTCATCCGTGTGTTTGGGAGCAGGAAATACGCTGTTAATACAAATAAACTGAAGCAAAGGCAAACATGTTGTTATGTTATTATTTAGTAGCTAAATATAAAAGTCAGTTCACCTTAACTGCTAAAGAGGTGTAGGTATTTCAAATCTTGTCTAATAGTCACATTTTTTTGATGTGCATATAATTAGAAAATTAAATTTCTTCTTGATACATTGATTTATTCCTTTCTAAATAGTCTACTTTACTTTTTAATTGAAGAATTGCTGTCTCAACCGTGGAAATGTTATGATAAATCAATAATGCATCACCAAAAGTTCAAAATGATGGAGGAATATGGGCAGGAAAATCCAAGAAAAGTTAAACTTGTAAATGGTGTAAAGGTTATTTGTTCTGAAGAGTTTTGCTTGGTAAAGGAAGTGATGGAACTCGTGTTTACCTTGGACTCGGAAAAGATGGTTACGGAAAAGCAGTAAAACGATTGCTTCGAGATAACTGTGTGGAGTTAGCCAAACGAGAAAAGATATTTTGAATGAGTTGAATGCCAAGCGCTCAAATTATGTTGTGAATTATTGGTATCTTGAAGAAGAACCAGGCACAGATTATTTGTATTTGATATTAGATTTGTGTGAAGAATCGTTAGAGAGTTATGTGAAATCTTCTTCTTTGCAAGATCTTCAAAAAGTCGTTCCTAAAGTTCTTATTCAAATCTTAAATGGTCTAGTTCACCTTCACAGTGGTCCGTGTCCTATTCTTCATCGGGATTTAAGACCATCAAACGTTCTTCGAGATGTGGATGGAAATTTTTTAATCGCTGACTTTGGTATAAGTCGAAAATTATTAAATGAAACTTCGACACATCAAAGCATACAAAGAGGAGCTAAAGGTTGGATAGCTCCAGAGTCATATGACGCATCAGATGAATCAATTGATAAAGTTCGTTACAAAAAAGAGTCTGACATTATGGTAAGTTCTTGAAGTAGAAATAGAGGTCCCTACCAAATACAACATTTGAATGTTGTATTTGGTAGGGATATCATTATCACTGCCACTGATATCATTATAACTTTTAAATAAAATTTTTGTTTACCTTCATTGTACAGTCATATAGTGGCGAAATACAAATTGTACTGTATAAAATATAAAAATATGTATATGTATGATAATTAATTGTTGTTATTGCCTTATTGGTTTTACGATTGTATGTCTCTCATTTAGATTTCTATGAAAAATTTATGGCTACGATTTTTAATTGGAGAACATTACTCTAATTTTTTTCGAACTGAACTTGTATTTTTTGCAACTAACAAGTAAATTAACTCCATTTTTTATTGAAAATAGAATGCCGGAATGGTGGCTTATTATGTTGCAACAAAGGGGAAACATCCTTTTGGAATTGAACGGCATAGACTGGACAACATTTTGAAAGGAAACCCAGTTGGCTTGAACGAAATCAAGGATGCCACGTTCAAAGACCTTTTATCGTGGATGCTACAGCTAAAACCGGAAGACAGACCATCGGCCAAAAAGGCGTTAAAACATCCTTATCTACAAACCGATAAGGAGAATTTTGATTTGCTGTGTGATGTTGGGAATGAACCAGAAATAAAGACATCATCTCCACATTCTCTTCCCTCAAATATTCGTGAGCAGTTGAATATTTCAATAGGTTGGATGGACCGTATCGATCCTGAAGTCTTTAAACATATCAATAAAGTATCCGACTCTACATGGTTAGGTTGCCTAAGATTTTTACGAAACGTTCGCCAGCATTGGCGTGATAAACCTCGTCCACAACTGTCATCATGTGTTAAAGATGGAAACTATCAAGAGTATTTTCTTCAACTTTTGAGGAACTGCCTTATCTAGTTCACAGAGCCATAAGATTGAGTGACTGGAAGGCAAGACCTGATCTAGAGAAACATTTTCCAAGTAAGACACAGAAATGAGTTTTCATTTTGATGGCCAAGCTATAAATTAGGGGTCCATGACACTATATTTGTTATTTTCACTCTAGTTCTCCTCTTCATTTACTGTACTTAATGCATGTATGTTTTGAATTCTGTATATTGCCGTTGCAAACATTTGTGACATGCTGTAAAACTTGAAGAAGGCAGGGAAAGAAAAGCGAAGGTGTTATTGATTACGCTGATCTTAACGGTAAATAGCTATGTAACAACAAACTCTGTGTACGTGTCACTTTTCTTAAATATTCTACCAAAACCGTAATCTCTTCACTTGTATCTGGTGCATCGTTCTAATTTTGTGCAACTGAAAATAACGGTTCAAGCATGTGTGATAGTACTAGCAATAGTCAAAATCTTTAGACGAGATTAACGATTTGTCCGATATCCAAAGATAGTGACGAGTACCTACGAATCATGATGAGACAGGCATATTTTTATCGTATGGTAAAAAGAAGCTTATAGCTTATTATGTTGTCAAACTTGTAAAGAACACATATGCAATAGTGCAAGTCAAAGTCAGCAAATGCTTGTCGCTGAAATTGCGAAAAATGCTTGCTTAGAAAAAGAAGAGAGTTTTCGATTAGAGTTATTAATCCTTTTAGCAGCTCATTTCACTTATTTTATTTTCTTTGCATTATTTATCCTAAGTGTAAATGGTCAGATCAAATGACGAATGGAAAAACAAGAACATTATCGTTTCAATTTAAAGCTAAATGTTCCACATCAACGAAGTATTTTTATTGTCTGCAAAAGAGGTTTATGGGAAAGCAATTGGCAAGAAGGAAATCAATGATACCACAATTCAAGATCCTCTTTTATGTATGTTTTAATTTGAGGCTCTTAAGCAAGTTAGATTAAGTAACCAAGTTGGATATTACATGGCCAGATTGCTATGAATTTTCATTGGATTTTGCAATGTTATATAATTAACTATTTCTGAATTGAAGATTAAATTCCTAAGAACGCAAGACGGGGTCGGGGGCATATTTTTAGCCAATAATCATTCGTAAATCGTTATCCTATGAATATTTATCCAGGGTAAGTTGTCGTATAGTAAGTGGTATAGTTAATTGTTAGTATTCTGTGCATTCTCTGTGACGATGGTGTTAGTATCAGGGTTGTAAATTGACACGTAAGTAAACCTTTTAATAAATATTACTTTTGGGAAGTCTTGTCTTGGCTTTATCTTTCTCGATCTTTCGGTTTGTCGTTTGTATGAGAACTATTTTGCGTTATTTGTATCAGCGATAGGTGTTGTGAACATTAATGTAAATAAAGAAACAACTTCTTAGTTTCGAGCCGCTTAAGTTTGTGTTCTCTTCTGTGTGGTAAATATAACTAGAATATAGCGACCTCTATAAAAACATGAGTTCACGACTGTAAGAAATATTCAAGATTGTAAAATAGATAATGACATAGATAAATACTTGACATGTGTGTAAATGAAAAATACATGAATCAATAAAGTAGATAGAGTTCGTAAAACGCTGTAAGCGCTGCATGTGTGAAAATAAAATGGATAAGGGCACTTGCATGACATTTTAGCAGTCATTGATATATTATAATTTTGCCAAAAACACCCAAATTGTTTTTTCCTGAAAGTAAAAGCTAACGAGAATAAATGCACAAATATGAAGCTTATAAACATAACTAACCATGCATTAACACTTATGCTGCATTGTAGCTTCCTGGTGAACATGGGTCACAAAGCTCTTGGAATGAAGAAAAACCGTTATGAAAGAATTAGATTATAAGAAAAAGTAAGCTTTGGTTCTATTAATTACATATAGTGAATGTACTTTGCATTGGGAATGCAAGCCATATAAATTAGTTCTTAGTCATGCCACTTGTGCAAAGCAAAGGACTTGCTGTTTGAATTTAGATTCCCCACATTGTTCACATGTCTTGTGAATGTTGTTAAACTTATTTAAAGACATATTTATCAGTACTCAATCTCTCTCATGTGATCTACAATCAAATAGAATTATGTTCTTCATTTCTTTGCCAGGTTAAGACATTGTCAAAATAAAAACTTCTTGTGTTAACTGTATATAGATTGGGTTAGGTTCATAATATAAATCCTAAGAGATTTGACTTGTCTCCAATCCCTGTGGGCTTGGTAGCTCTACAGGTAGAGCGTCAGACTAGTATCCCGAAGGTGCAAGTTCAAATCTCGTCCAAGTCACATGTTTTTCATGTTCATATAAAAACCGTGTTAAGATTTATATTATGTATAGATTGGGTTTGGTTCATAATAGATATCATAGCATTTTAAATCTTTACATTTTATACAAAAAATCAGTTTGTGGCTCTACAGATATAACATGAAAATTTTGTGAGGTTTATCTGCTGGCATGAAAGCAAAGCTGTTATTTTGATCTGATGACATTTTGAAAAGAATCAAATGCTTTATAATCAAAATAGAAGAATTGCATACATGTGAAATCTTTAACTATGTGTGAATAAGTTGTGATCTTTTGTTTATACTGAAAATAAGATTAAAAATGCAACCAAAATCTGAAATATTAGTTAAATCTGAAATACTAAAGCTAGCACAAAAGAAATGAGTAATCAAATTTAACGCACCTTGTTGTATAACTTTATGCACTAAAATATGTGACAAGCAAAGTTAAAAATAAAAATAACTTATATACTTGTTTTAGTCAAATATGTTTATGGCAAGTTCTGATGAATTCGATTGTTGTATAGTATATTGTGAAATGTAACAAACTGTTCAAATAAAGTGCAATTGGTATGAAAATCTGGTTTTGATGTCCCCCAAATGAATGGTATCATATCACCCATCCACAATGTCAGGCTATGGATTTGTAGCAGAGGCGTAGCCAGCTCGATAATTGGAGGGCAATATTCATTTATAATCTGTATTAAATTCCTTTGAAATCCATTGTTTTCTTGAGATTACAACATACATATATCAGTATTGGCTCCCCAATTATTGATGAAGCAGTCTACGCCACTGCTACGCAGAAGATAAAGCAATGGTAGAAACCACGAGTATCACGTGTGTAATCGAGGTGTAATCCCATATGTAATTCTCATCTGCCATACTAAATGCTGGGACTGCACGCTCATCCCAAATGCATTTTGTAAGCTAAAATATCAAATTTTCCAGCTGTAAGATTTAAGACCGTTGGCGAAAGGCGTGAAAAAAATATAAATTTGTTTTGTTGTACGTAAACGGATAAAAACAAAACGTGTTTGCGACTTAAACAGCTATTTATATTGTGTTCATTATGTCAAAACTTTAGAACCCCCTTTAGAGCATTGTTATGTTTTCACATGTCATCTACTTAATATGAAATTCTCAAATATAGTGAGGGCCAAGTCATTGGTGATGGGGAGGGCTTGGTGCTGTAAACCTTGAGTAATTTTGTGCTATTATTAATGAATATAACTAACGTTAAATCTCTAAACAAACAACACCAAAAAAATGTGTCTTGCTACGTCAATGACATGTTAGGAAATACTTCAAAGGATTGTTCTTGAACTTTATAAATGTCTTCACATGATACCAACTTAAGTCTTCCATCATCTGTGTGTGTGTGTAGGGGGGCAGATTTAATTTCTCGAGTGGAGTAAGTATTCAAAATTCCAAATGAAAGTTTTCATTTACTTTGTGATGAATGAATATTCGTATGCTTTGGAAGTAGAGACTCTAACGACAAAGTTGATTTTTTTGTCTTTAGTTAAATATGGAATGACTTTAAAATTTGGCCACTACAACTGACGCAACAAAGAAGAATTTTCTGTTCACTTGTAGCTAACAGTAGATTCCATACATGGGTAATTGCTGCTGTCCAAAACCTGACACCTCCGTTGGCGAGGAACCGTTCTTGAAAGAGGGGAATTGTGGTATGATCTGTTCTTAACAGTTCCTCCAAACAGGCCCTGTGCACAAAAATTAATAATTGGAATAGCAATTTAATCACCCAGATTCAAAATATGGACTGTGTTGCACAACCTATCAAAATTTCAAGTAATTTGGTGCACGCTCTGGCAAACTCAATGTCTTCAAAACTTGGATTATTTCGAGTTTGTGCATTTCAAACAAAGTTTGTTCTATCATATCAAGTTCAATTTATGCATTATCGGGAAATTGCATAAATTACAATATGAAATTATCAACTCCAATTCTTGAAAGTGTATTTGTTGCATAAAGCGAGGTATAAAATGCAAAAACGCAAAAATCCATGTTTTCAGCGCGTGCGCCAAAAATTTAGATTACGATAGATCTTTTTTTTATTTGATCATTTTTTTCGAAAGGTCTGTTTTGAAAGATTTTTAACAATGTAAAAAATCTTGCATTTTCCGAATTTTAAGTGCCTTCCATGTCAAAGAACGTTAAAATACTTAAAATTAGTAAAGGTTTTTGGTTATTTAGCGCGCGTCTACTTTTCGAGAACTTTTTTCCTAGAATCAACCATTTTCTATACACCTTGTATATTAACTATAGATTTATTGCTAGCACTTGAAATTCATCATTGAAAATTTACATAAAGCTTGTTTTTTACGTCGCATTTTACATGAGTCGATTGCATACAAAACTAATGAGGAATTTATCTCAATTTCATTTGTTTTAAATGCATTCGACGCATGTAAAATGCGACGTATAAAACAGGTTGTTTGTCACAGAAATGTTTAGTGTGGAATACGCTTTCTTTTTTACGCACATGCAGATTTTCGACAAAATAACTTTAATTTTTTCGCAAAAGTCGGTCTTAGTCGTAAAAATTCTACCTGAATTTGCCTGTTTAAAAGCTTGATTGCCCTAATCTGAAGACAGTATGCAGTGTATTCCATTGTATCAGTTGTCAGCAATATGCTTCACTCTTGCTTGCATTGTTCGTTTTAAAGAGTGGTTTATGATATATTAGTTGTTGATAAGTTGTTTTGACGATTTGCATGTTGCTATTGGAATTCTCAATTTGGAAACTTGTGCTACTTTAGGGCCCATTCACACTAAAACTTTAAATAAATTCGAAATCGATTGGAGTCCGTACGAGAGCTAATGTGAACACTTACAAGTGATGCGAAAACGAATTCGATCAGAAATAATTTCGGCCACCTCAAAAGGTGGTCTTAGAGTCTCGAATCGGGTTAGTCTGCATGATAATGTGAACATGCAACACGAATAGAATCAGATCAATCTTGATTAATCACATGTTTTTAGCTTAAAGTAAATCGTTAGAACCCGGGAGTATTGTTACATGTTTGTAAATGCAGATCGTCCAGGTTGGTATAGTCCTGAGAAGGACTGTTTTTGTTGTTGTTGACTGACGTTTCGACAACCTTAGCGGTAGTCATCTTCAGAGTCAAATGAGGAGTAAACGTCAGGTTAGCCGTATTTGTTATCTGGTTCTTACGTCATTGTATTGTGTGTGCAGGAAATGTGTATTGTCATTGTGAATTAGTGTGAAGTGAAATATTTTTATTTTTAGTTGTGATGTGTGATTTAGGTGTGATGTTTTTAGTTGTAATGTGTGGGTGTCAATTGTGTATTGTTATTGTGAAATAGTGTGAAGTGTAATGTTTTTAGTTGATCGTTTGTTTGTATTGTGAATAAGTCGTTTGTAAAGTGCCGGTAAATGCTGTGATCTGTTCAGGGGGGTTTGTTCCATGTTGGTATACTAACTTTCTAATGTAAGCCTTTCTATAGTCAGTACTGTAAGTAATGCATTTTGCCGAGTCCCAGTCAATGTAGTGCTTTGTGATTCGGTGATGTTCGGCAATGTGATTAGTTTTGTCTTGTTTCTTAGTAGCTCGTTTGTGTTCAGTAAGTCTTATGTTTAAGTTCCTGCCAGTTTCCCCGATATAGGAGGCGTGGCAGTCGGAGCAGTTTATTTTGTAAACTGCACCTTGTCGTTCGTTGGGTTGTTCTTTGTCCTTTATGTTCGTTAGCACTTGGCGTAACGTTGTGATTGGTTTATGTGCGACACGTATGTTGTATGGTCGTAAGATACGCAAGATACTCTCAGACGTACCTTTGATGTAAGGTATCGTTGCTGTTGTCACTGAGTTGTTCGTTTTGTTGGGTTCGTTGAGTTTGTAGGTGTTGCGTTTCATAAAGTCAGAGTCATAGTTGTTTTTGTCAAAAACACGTTTGAGATAGTTGTTTTCGTTTTGTAGAGCGTCCGGTGAATCACATATGATTTTTGCACGTATTGTTAATGTTCTAATTGTGGTGGCTTTGTGTGATGTAGGGTTGTAAGATGATTGGTCTAGTAGTCGGTCAGTATGTGTTGGCTTGCGATAAACTGTTGTTCGTAGTTTTTGATTGTCATGTATTACCAAACAGTCGAGAACAGGAAGAGTTCCGTTTTCTTCGACATCTTTGGTAAATTGTATGTGGCTGTTCTGTGTGTTGATGTGAGTGTGAAAGTCATCAATCTCGTCTGCATGTAGTGCTGTGATTGTGTCATCTACGTAGCGATGTTTTTAGCTTAGTAACCAGGCTTTTCGTGCGATCACACATATCACGGGTTTCGTTTTTGCTTTGTTTGCTTGCAGCAATATTTTACAGTTATAAGCAAATATGTGAAAATAGTTCTAAAGATAGCAAATACCATAGTGAATGGTAAAAGTAATATAATAAATTGATAGTTCTTAAAAGAACTGTTTTAAGTAAAGAGCACTAGGACCAGAAGTTGCTAATATTTTCGTAGGCTATTATGATTGTAAGGATTTTGCCTCGTCTGGGCCTCTGGAAGTGTTGTGGTACAAACGTTACGTTGACGTTTGTCACCTTTTCCCTTTTTCGTAACGACAAAAATCGCCAATTATTTTTACATAAACTCTGTTCTCTTCACCCTTCTTTAAATTATACGTCTGAACAGGAATCAAATTGTCAGTTAGCGTTTTTGGATGTTCTTGTCCATAAACGCAATGGTCAATTCCTTACAAGAATTCATCGCAAGGCAACTTTTACGGGTTTGTACACATGCTTTGACGCTTTTTCTTCACACAGAGAAAAGATTTATTTAGTAAAGTGTTTAATAAAGCGAACGCTTAGACTGTCCTCAGAAGAGTTCATTTAGAATCATTTAAGAAATCTTTCAGTTACGCGTCATGGAGGCTGTTTTAATTAAGTTAACCAATCCGTCCTCTGCCGACAAAAGGATTATGTTTTTAATTTATCTCTGTTTTGAGCGTCATCTCCCCTTTTTGAGATGACGTACACTCTTTCTTGGCATTATAAATATCGAGAAATTGTAAATTTTCATTTAGCAGACGTTGACACCTGAGGAGTAGTCTGCCGAAATGCATCGTGTCGTTTAATTTAGAACTATTGGGTTAGTGTTCGTTACTTAAAACAGTTCTTTTAAGGACTATCAAATTATTACGTTATTTTCAGATTTGTCACCACGACAAAGTCTCTATTTTATTATTTAAGCAAATATTTCGAAACGCGGAGAAACTTGATCTAATGAAGAAGTGATGGTACTTATTTCTATTTGGGTGTCTGAAGAAATACAAAAGAAACTAAGTACTACGCACAAAAATGCAGATGTTTACAAAAAAATAATATCATTTCGACATTTCTTTCGTTGGCGATTTTAATTTCAAAAGAAATCAGCAGGGCTGAATGTTTGAATATTACCCACCACCTTCCCTCCCCAATTAGCGCTCTAGTTTCGCCTCTGCATGCATTATACCAATAATACTTTATCAGAACTGAATGCTTTAATGAGTGATTTATAAAATGGTTGCAATTAAGTTGATGGGCTTTCAATTACTATCCAAATCATTTGGGCAATGACAGAGTTTTAGTTATTTCAAATTAATCGATTTTCTTGTTTTGATAATCTTTAAAAGTAATATTTTTACTCCAATTTCAGAATTGCAGTGGAAATGCGTTGATGAATCAACTAAACATAACAATTGATTTTAAAAATGATTAAATATGGATTAGAACCCAAAGTCAAGGTTGATCATATAAGCGTAGTGCGTGTAATTTTTTCCGGAGAATTTTCATCGGCAAACGAATTGATGGAACTCGTGTTTATCTTGGACTGGGAAAAGATGACTATGGAAAAGCAGTGAAACGAATACTTCGTGATATCTGCATTGGGCTTACACAACAAGAAAAGAAAATTTTCAAAGACATCATCGAAAAAAAATCGAAGGATGTTGTGAATTATTTTTACTTAGAAGAAGACATTACATCAGAATATGTTTATTTAATACTCGACCTGTGTGAAGAATCGCTGGAGGATTTTGTTCAATCGGAATGAAATAGTTTGGCTTATCTTCAAAAATCGCTTCCCAAAATTCTCAGACAATTTTTAAAAGGTTTAGCTCATCTTCACAGCGACCCACATCCTATTCTTCATCTGGATTTAAAGCCTTCTAATGTTTTCCGAGACGCACAGGGCAAATTTTTGACTTCGAATTTGTATGAGTCGAATTTTGAAGAATGAATCTAACACATTAAAAACATCCAGAACTGATCCAGTCTCTTTCAGTCTCTTTTTAGTTACAGTTAACAAGAAATAATTTTAAACTTTTACCAGGAAGAATTCGATTAGAATGATAATAGGAAAATATAAATAGACAAATTCTCCGTATCGCTAGTATCGAATGAACAAAGATCTTTTTCTTGTTATTTTAAATAGTTGCATCTTAAATAGTTATGCAATTAAGTGTGTCATTGACACGCGTAATATCATTTACCATTTGAACATTTACAAGGAAAAATTCGATTAGAATGATAATAGGAAAGTAAAAATAGACAAATTCTCGGTATCGCTTGTATCGAATGAACAAAGATCTTTTTCTTTTTATTTTAAATAGTTGCATCTTAAATAGTTATGCAATGAAGTGTGTCATTGACACGCGTAATATCATTTACCATTTGAACATTTACCAGGAAGAATTCGATTAGAATGATAATAAGAAAATAAAAATAGACAAATTCTCGGTATCCCTAGTATTGAATGAACAAAGATCTTTTTCTTGTTATTTTAAATAGATGCATCTTAAATAGTTATGCAATTAAGTGTGTCATTGACACGCGTAATATCACATTTTTCAATGAATTCTTGCACTTTAGATGAACGGACTATTCTAAATTCTAATACTGTATATCTTACATGCCAACACCCTTAAAGGTTTTTTTCTTCTCATTAGGTGTTGCATGGTAGCGCCTTGTTTGATTCGGTTGTCCAAATTTAGAATTTCATGTATTTTTTTTTAGATCTAGTCGACTGCAATCAATGGTTAATCACAAACATTAAACAGTTATACTATAAAACGTTCCATTTGCTGTGATTACAATAAGCGGATTGTGTTTTGTTTAATACATTTAAATTTCTTGGTAGAGATTAGTACGGAAAAAAGTAACTTCCAATTTTGTTCACATTGACAAAGACCCCATTGCCTTACTGAGTTTAAGGTGTCCCTGATTGTGCTAGCTTTATCATAATTGGTGAAAGTAGACCATTGCACTTAATATGTTTTAAATCAAGTTTATAAAGATGAAACTTGACGATAGTAGTCTTTTCTATACCTTGTTATAGCTACCTTGTTGCTGTGACAATTTTTTTGTGATTTTGTTGTTTTGTTGGGTAATCATAATTTTTAGAATCTGTGAATAATAAGCTTTCCCCTAAGATGTAGCTACTTTGCTACTATTATGATAAATATTTTTGTTTCGACAATAATTTGTAAAAAAAATCTTATTTGGCGTGCATCAAATGATTATCGTAGATTTTTGACGATTAACTTCATACAGTTGGATGTTTTAAAACATTGATGCAAGTAACGTTTAACAAGGATGAGTACAATTTCTGAAAATTTTCTTCCTGCGTATGTTTAATTTTTATAAATTTTCATCTATGTTAAGGCTAATAATCACGGAAAGTTTCTTTGTTGACGTGTGGCGTTGAAGGTTATGATGTTATATGTAATTTAAACGCCTTAATGATTGTATATTAAAACTGTGCAAGCATTCTATTTTAATCTTTTCATTTCAACGAGGGAGAAAGACGAAGATTTGATAAATATGTATTTATGATTGCAGAATTTCCTAAGTTCGATGTATTTACCTTGGATAATACAGAATTTATAGAGTTGCCTTCAACGAATGAAAAGTTACTTCATGGATGACGGTAAGTTATATACAATCAAATTTATACGAGACCTTCGTAAATTGTGTGTTAGCTATACATGCAAAAATATGGATATATTTACCAACATTTTATCGTAGAACAAACATACACTTTATTGATCTTTTTACCTCGATAATTGTCGTCTAGAGATTTTATGTCTTTATGCACCAACTATAGATATATCTTTAAGGTTTTTTTGCGTCGAATTTTATTGACTAAAATACTGTCACACGTTTGGTGACTTTTCAATTGACAGAACGTTACGAGTCTAAAGGTGAAGAAACGGAATATTACCCCGACTATGAAAGTAAGTTATACTATCAAATTTATGTATAATTTACTTATAAATTGTATCTTCCATACGTAGTGATATACTATATAACATTCAACTTATACTCCTTGATTATTATAAGCTTCAACAATTCCAGGCTTATGTGACCAGCAAGATACTCGTACATAAACTACTATTAAAACGACGACCGGTATACAGATAAATCTTTATTTCAATGCAATGCGTCAAACGTACGGTTCTAAACGACAGAGTATAGATATTAACATAACCGACAAGGAGGCCTAAAGCCGTAATCATCGTTACCTCGTAATTTGGCCACTAAATATAAACATCCATGTACAAAAAATACACCACTATACATGAATTGTGCGCAATCTCAAAAGACCCCAAGAACCATGCTTTTATACGGGTCCCCTTTTGTTTTTCATAATAATTAGCATAATAATTAGCATAACCTAAGCTCTATGCATCTCGATCCTACAATTATGTTTTTCCTTGTTATCTCGTCATCTCAGGATATTTTACGTCTCCTTGCGCGCAACATTTTTAAGCATTTTCGATTCAAAATCCCTTCATGAGATTGTTTGTGTAAGATAATAATAATATCCATAATAACTATAAAAATAGCTTAAGAAGCATTTGTGCAAACTGGACGATTTTCCAAAGCTATAATTCACAAAGTTTAGGTGTTGAACAACACAAAATAAGTCAGTTTTAAGTTAATGTCGTCGCCAAAAAAGAGCTTGTGACAATTCAGATGAACCTTTGGCATACAAGTTTCAGGCACCGCCGAGGGTCGATAATTTGGGGGGGGGCTTATATTCATATATTCATGTTTTAATCCTTAGAAAACAATGGATTTCAAAAGATCTTAAGCCTACATGTATGTATATATGAATATTAGCCCCCCCCCCAAATTATCGATCCTCCGCGGTGCCTGTTTATTATATGTTCCTTGTCATTTTGAGTAAAAACGCGACAAAGTGTTGGATATGAATAGATCAAAATATTGTATCATTCTGATTACAAATTGTATTACAATGCGAAATAATATTGGTCAATTTTGGTAAATCTCAGCAGAAACAGATCCGTCCGTCATTTTTTCTGATCCGTTCCGCCGTTCAGTTGTTTTATTTGTTTGAATTTTGTTTCCTGAAATAAATTTAGAGGAGTTTGTAAAGATGCGTTCTGGCGGCCCCCATATGCCTTCTGGTAGTGGTGTCTCCCCTTAAAACATTCGTGGGGTATTCCCCCCTGGCTGTACCCCAGCCACAACGCCAATGGTTCGGTGTTTCATAGATATACATAGGATGGATACTTAGGCGTAGGAACAGATTTAAATTTGGGGGTGGGGTTAAAGTCGACGAGTATAGTATATACTCCACCCTTATTTTTTGAAGCTTTAGGGAGTCTAGTACAAACATTAATAATGGAGAAAGTCATGAAATCTTTATAATTTAGTTGTACTTCATTACAATACACAAAGTGCAAGTATTGTTCAAAAATTTTATTTTCACTGCACAAAACGAACGAATTTAACTAATAGCCTAAACGATTGGTCGTACTAGTTGCAAGCTACGAATTCTAGTTCAATGTCAGACTAAGATGTTTTCACTCTCTGAAGAATTAAAAATGGACCTTTGTTGTATGCATTAAATGGGTACAAAGAAGTTTATGAGCTTTACTACACATACAAGGACGTACGTTTTCATGATGTCCCTTATTGTGCTAATTCAAGTGATATCCATAATTCTCATTTGATCTTAGCATAAATTTTGCTCGTTTGCGGTCTTTACTAAATCTGACAGTATTGATATTGTTTTTCTTCTTAAGACAATTTCTACTTCGTTCTTGAACTTTCTGTAGTTTGTGTGATGGGTACATAACATAAAACCTCTATATGCATCTATCACAAGCAAGTATTTATTGAAGATGGCATCATGAGATGTTGAAACATGTTTATTTTAAAAAACTTGTCGTATTAATTACCGTTATCACTTCGCTTGATTTCCTTTTTTTACAAATATTTTCAATGTTTCAATTCAAGCATTCATGGAAAATAGTCTGCTTAAGGAGGCATATACAGTAAAACTTTTACTAAAATTATGAGAGAAAATACTTTGGATGAAATTGATAGTGGTGCAAACAAGGGTGAAGTTGAATATAACGTAAAAACAGACAAAGTTCATATTTTTGGGTTAGAAGATCATGCCTCTGTTGAAGAGAGTAATGTTGACAATAGAAACAGGTTACAAATGTCTCGTGAAACCCTTCATCATGCTGGCGTATCAGCGAATCAAAGTCGTGAAGCTAAAGAGTCGTGTGGACGACGTGATTCGTGTTTCCCACGAGAATCGTGGATCTAATGTGGGACGAGTTGCTAATGAGTATCGTGTTGTTGAAGAATGGAAGTCTTCTTCAGAGTTTCATGAAAACAGAAAAAAGGAAAGTGGTAATTTCAATGTGGATGATAAATATGGAGAATATGTGAAGCTAAAGTCTAATGCTCCACTACATACAGAGAGGTTACAGCCAATCAACTTCTCTTCCAAGGAGACAGGCGCAATGACGTCACGTAGTATGGCGTCACATGATCACCGTTCAAGATACATGATGCCCAGTGATTCAGTGAGAAATTATACCAACATGGGTTACAGTCAATATGGCGATGATGTGTCTAGTGTTCATCATCAAAAACCTGTTGTTGTTGTGAGAACATTTAATCATCCAGGAAAGTCGTACTCTTACAGGTCAGTTGTACTAACGCAGGTCAGCAGCACTATTATAGGTCAGTTGTACTACCACAGAGCAGTTATACTATTACAGCTTGGTTGCAGTACTAGTCACTGACTTGAATTCAACTGCACACGTAATCCTACTCTGTTATTCATTCACCTCCAATGGCTTACTATGCTTAATTTTATCAAACACACACGTTGTCTTTCAGGGATGTATTGCTATCGCTAATTAAGGGGGGGGCTCTTGTTCACTTATGCATGTTATAGATCCGTAGATAACAATACATTTCAAAAGATAGTAAAGTAATTCAGCATGTCATGAATATATGAATAAGACCCCCAATTAGCGATAGCAATACATCCCTGTTGTCTTCTCCTTTGGTTTTTAAAGTTTCTAAAATTACCATTGCTCTTTGTAGACAAAGGAGATCATTGCCAAGAAACCGCTCATGACTGAACTACAAAAAATCTTTTAAATCTTCGACGACTCGCAAACGAAAACTTTTACCATCTGCCTGGACAATAAAGGCTGAAACACACTGTGCAGTCGCTTTAGTCGCGCGACTAAAACTACCAAATTGCGCGGTCACTAAGCTAGTAGTTTTAGTCGCGAGTCTAGTCGCTTTGGAAGTTTAGCATGTTGATTTTTTGACCTTGGTCGCTTCAGTCGCTTGCCTGTGATTGGTTATTTCCTTGCTCAAAATGCTAATTTCGAAGTTAACGTGAACAAAGATGGCTGGTTACGAAGAAGTGCTCATAAATTCTTTTCGCAATTTTCCAGTATTATTTGATCTTGCGGACAGAAATTATAAAAATGAGCCGATGAGAGTGAATGCGTGGCATCAAATTCTAGACGATCTGAGAACTGTTGGCTTTACAGGAACAGGTAAGGAGCAATTTATTTATCTTTGATATTTTTCAGTGATGCCGTGATAAGACATGTTGTTTGTTGAAATTTGGATTGTTTGAGATATTGAGCATAATTTTGTTTTATCAATTTTATCAGTTGAGGAGCTCAAGGCAAAAATGAAAAGCCTTAGGGACGTATACGTCAGATACAAAAAGAAAAATGATGCTGCCATAAAATCAGGAGCTCCAGCCTCATCCACACCATCATGGGAGTTTTGGGGTTTGATGACAATGGTTGGACGATTACAGAAAGCGTGAACGGTAAGGCATACATATTAACATTAATGTCTCCTGTTATTATTGTGTTACTGTATAGGGCTGAATGTGTAAAGTAGCATTATGATCGTGGGTTTCAAAAGTGTTAATTCTTTATATAGAACATCACTAACATGTCTGTCACTGTAATTGAAGATGAATCAGTCAATGAAGTTACAGATGAAAGTAACAGCATTGATACATTGACACTCGAAGTAGATGATCTGGAGAGCAGTCAGTTTTCTGAAGCAGTCGATCCAACTTCGCACTCAATCATATTCCAACCCATATCATCACCATCATATATTTCATCCACCTCAGCTTCATCATCTAGAGCAGCAACACCATCGGCACCACCTCCACGATCAAAAAAACGAGAAAGAAAGCTCAAGATGATGGTCCTAACGAATACCAGCTGCGGTTGCTGAGCAGTTTGGAAAAAATTACTCAACAATCAGCATCTCCCCCAACTGAATCATCAATGGACGAGTATGAACATTTGGCAGAAGCATAGCTTTACAAATCAGAAAGCTTCCTTCTGATTACCTTAAAGCACTGGCTAAAAAAAGAATCCAGGATGTTCTTTTTGACATTGAATATAATGAAAAATAATGGTGCTTTATCTATATTACAACAAAAAAGTAAAATAAAATTATATCAATGAGTTCTTTTCACATATTCTTGCTGCCATGAAAGTTGACCAACTTCTGAATTAAAATACATGGCAAATAATGGTTGTTTTAAGTATTCGCCACTTGGATACCATTATACCTGATACAAATATCAATTGAAGAGAATATTGAAAAGTGTTTGATTCAAAACTCCATAAAGAAAATGAGCATGTAAATACAAACCAAAGGTGTTTTCTATTGTTCGCCGAGCTCTTGACAATCTGTAGTTGAAAACTCTCTTTTGAAGGCAATCCAGTACCCTTCCTGGATAAGGTTGCATCATCCAGGTTTTAAGAGGAAATGCCTCATCTGCAACCACAGTATAGGGAAGGCTTTCATTTGTTCCTGGTAAAGGCTCATCAGCAGGTAGATGCATCTCACCTATCAAATAAAATTTGTAAGGTGAATACTACTTTCAACACTGAATACTTTAAAGAGATATGATACCATTTAAAAAAGCTGATCCAAATTGTGAATTAGCAAAAACTCCCCCATCACTCCATCTTCCAGCTTCACCAATATCCACAAAGATAAATTTGTACTGGGAATCGCACAAAGCCATTAACACCAAGGAAAAGTGTTTTTTATAATTGAAATATAAAGATCCAGAGTTTCTCAGAGCCTGAATAGCGTTATGTTTTCCATCTAGTGCTCCAATGCAGTTTGGAAAATTCCATGTATAAGCAAATCTGAAAACATACAACAAACAATGATGCAGTGTCACTACAAGTCTACAATAAAGTAACCCTTTCTCATAATCATGTTTTAACTTTACCCTTCAGATATTTTCTTCCAGTCACTAGGTTGCGAAGGAGCCTTCATGTATGTGGGGACAAGAACTCTCCAAAGTGCATTACACGTATCGTAAACAACCGCACGAACTGTGCTAGCCCCACGACGATAAGCAAATGCTATAGACTGTGGGCTATCACCTGTAGCCAATCTTCTTAATGTGATTGCTAGTCTTTCAGCAGGTCCAACTGATTGCCTCATTTGAGTATCTTGCCTACGAAGAGATGGACCAACCAAAGCCAGCAACTCATCAAATATTTGAGGGCTCATGCGAAATTACAGATTAAACTGCTCCTCATCGGTTCTTAGTTCTTGAACCAAGTGCAGAAAATCTCCTTGTGCTCTCCTTTGCCTGTTTAATTGACGAACCCACCACCTTTTCATTTTATCATTTTTTTTCCGTTTTTCAACCTCTTCCAGCTCGTACAAAATGCAAACAGATGCTAGTAACTTAGCCTGATGACTAGACGCCATGTTGATAGTCGCAATTTGGTCGCATGCTCGCTTTTGCATGTGTGTTTCTGACGTTCAAGCGCGTTCTAATGCGCGCGCATCAATTCGCTTTAGTCGCGCGACCAAAGCGACTGCACAGTGTGTTTCAGCCTTAAACCTTCGAAATTCGCCTCCAAGACATGAAAACCGTCCAAAACTATCCCATGCTAAAAATGCTAAAACCTCGACTTATTACAAAGCTTCTGGTCGATCGCAACTCAGCTCACATTCAGATGCGTCAGAGGTAGATTATAAATCATCGCCTGCCTTCAAGACCAAATTAAGGATCAAAATTTTCAAGCAATTTATTCCGACAAAAAGTGGGAAGAGAAATCACATGACCCAGAAATCATGTCCATTGTCAGTGGCAGTGAGTTTTCTGAATTCTTACCCACTCCTCCACGGCCAAGCGACAGCCAATCAGATATCTCTACGGATGGATATTCCCGTGGTAGTTATAAATCATTTAAAAACAAACTTGAAAGAAACGTTAAAGAAAACAGGGAGGTTGTTGTTGAAGACAGAAGTCAATCAGATCAACAAAAACATAATGAATCATTTAAAGAAACTTTTGAGGTATTTATATGTAAAATAAAGTAAATGTATTTGATTTTTTTTTGTTTATCCTTGCACTGCTATGGGTCTATTCTATTTACTTAAGTTTCAAAAATCTTTCACATCATTGCTTTAGATTGTCTTTCATCATACAACATTTTCTGTTTTTCTATAAACAGCGTTTACGAAATGGCGAGACGCGTGAGAGTAATGGAAACGAAAGTAGAAAAATCGTTTGCTCATTTAATAAAGAAACGAGCAATTCATCGTGGACTCATAATGACAGCGGTTTTAGAAAGAAACATCATGTGCCAATAAATGGTGTTCAAGTCCTACCACCAGAACCAGTTTTTATTCAGTTTGAAAGTAGCGATGAGGAGAAAGAAAATTAAAGTTGATTGTTTTATTAACAAGCTTTTTTAGACTTATAAATGGTTCACTTTATATGGTGAATTAACTATCTATGTAATAACTTTCTATCTATTTTTCATACATTTGAAGGACATTTTAAATCCACAAATTATTCATTCTCCCCCCTCCCCCCATGGAGAACATAAAGCATTTTTTCAAAAAAATGTACTTCCTACTGTTATTTTGAAATTTTTACATTGTTAAAATAATCTTTTTTATGACGACATTGCAAACAAGGCGTTATTATTGATGTTTCTTACCTGACGGAAAACGTTATAGAAATACACTTGTTGAAATACCTATTGGAAACTGTGATCGGAGATCAGTGGTTTATCTGTAAGTTTACCAGACTTTGTTATATTGTATTCTTTACATGATTAAAGGCTGATATTCTTTAAAAATACTCGAGTTTGTGATTTCTTTTAGGGTGTATATATTAACAACATTAAGAAAATTATATTGCGTCAGACGTTAATTTTCATTGCCGAAAGTTTGTGTATGTAACTTATTTATAACTCCCTTTACAAATACTCCGATTTTGTATAGAAGTAAAGATTTTCTACCCATCACGCATAAAAACATAAAGTTTGTAGGCAGTAACTATACGGACTTAAACAATTCTATAGCATTAAAGTGTTTTTTCTGCTGCGTTTTTAATCATAATTAAACTTTCATACATACAGAATGTCGACAATGTTATATTTAACGTTTTCACGATGCTTTAGCTTTGTTAGCGTGTATATTTTCTCTTCTTCATGATAATTTTATGAACTACGTTGGCGGAAGTGGACACGCAAGCAAATTGTATTATGAGAAATATAATTCTTGAGAAAACTGTTCTTGGTGTTGTCTAAATTAATTTTTTCATTTATGATATGTATGTAAACCATTTTGCATTGATACTTTAAATATTGTCATTCGTGAACATTTTCATGAAATGATTTAACAAGAAACGATTGCTTGTCTTCGATTAGCTCATCGTACAACTGAAAATGTCGGAGATGTCTTGTCCTATGTCAGATACTTCTGCATATCAAGCATTATTCTGTACATCAAACATTATCTGGATTTTCCAGCATTTGAATTAAGTTAGTCCCTTCAAGTTTGCAATCCATCACCTATATTCTGGGGGGTGAGCGCATAGTTTCAGTCTACTCTATGTTTTAAAGAGTAGCTTTATTCCTATAGACTTTGTGAACGTTAAGTAAATTACAACTATTACAAATATTGAGGATTATCGATGATCGACTTCGTATATACGTTAATGTTTGAAAAACGAAAGAAGTAAAAGTTACCGGTTCATTAAATGCACCATGCTAAGCAAAACAAGAATGATGAGAATATTGAAATGACGTGTTCTTTCGCAGTAGGATATATATGCCATTTGAATACGATATGAATAATATGTTTTTATTAATTATCTTTTCTTTTATGGCAAAGAAATGTATTGCAACGCAGCTTTCAACAGATTTTACACTGTCTTAAAGCTTTTGTTTGAGCTAAATTTGATTTAATCTTTATCTCTAACATCTGCATTCTTCAAAAATTATCATTTTCCTATCCAAGTAAAAATAAGTTTCTTTTACTGCTGGGATAATGACGATATTGAAAATCATGTTTATCGTTCAAATGAACATGTGTTTTTAAATTGTCGTTAAGATTCGATTGTTTTCATAAAATTGGCAAGTCTTTGAACACGCATGGTTTGTTGAAAATGTTGTTAAGTGTGTGTTGTTTTTATACACTTACAGGAAAATTTTGCTGTCTAAAGTTGGCAATTTTTAAACTAGCATGGCTTATTAAAAAAACATCAGACTGACATCAGTGACGTAGCTAAACTAAAACAACTAGTCGTGCTGTTGTGATTGTAAACATGAATTACTAAAATGATTGGTGCTAACATAAGTCGGTGGTGTCATTATGGTTGATTCAGTCCGAGAAAGTTTAAAATCGATCACATCTGAATTCTCAAAATCATTTTACATTTCAAATCAAATCAAAGCAAATCATTCATTTATTTCAACTAAATAATTTTTTTGAAATAGCTGTTTTGCCCAATGTCAGGGCTCATCAGCATGCCTAGGAATTACAAATGCCATTTACATCATAGATCAATGACAAATGGTTAACTTGTGAATCCGGCATGGACAGTCTTGTAAAAAACTGAATAAGCAATCTGGTTTTCAGGCGCCTGAAACTCGCCTTTCACACCTTTGCATGAAAACAAAGGAGTTCGGTTAGACAAGGGAGACATTTTGGAACATTTCATCCAGATGCAGTTGCTCAATTTTGCATCTCATTCCAGTCGTTTCTAACCCTTTAGGAATATATAATTTGGTCTTGCCGGCCTGAGTGAGCACGACTAAAAACGGGCGAAAGACGTTGCTTGTGCTTTTAGGGCATTGATTAAGGCAGGCATCGGGTTAAAACACGAGTATAGTGTGTGCAATATGATGTATGTGAGGAATAATCGACTGTTTTTTGTGTTTCCTCTATTGTACTTGCTTATGTCTCACACCAAAGGTATTTTCGAAAGCATTTGCGTGTAAAATTTAAACTAAGCCATTTCAAAACTCCTCCAATCCCCCCTACCAAGGGTCGCCAGGTCACTATATCTTGCTGTGATCTTTTCAAGTTGAGAAAATTTATGTAGGTATGAGGACTTGCAAAACAAGTCATTCTTGTTGTTTTGATGCTTGTAGTCAGACGGTAGTAAAAACGGTGAAGAAGTCAATAGTGTTGAATTACCTGAAGACCGAAGAATTTTTTGTAAGTTTTGCAGACTTAGTTGTATTGTACTCTCATCAATAGTCAATATTTAAAACCGGAATGCTTTAAAACGTAATGTTGAATTTTGCGGATTTTTTCATTCATTAGAAAATTCATTGTGTCAGAAGTTAAATTTGATCACATAAAGCCTGTCTTTCTTCCTTATTTATATGTCTATTTTCCGAGTACAAATCGTCAGATTATATTTTTAACAGGATAATTCTTTGCAACTCACCTGAATCAAAGTAAAAATTGTTTAGGCAATAACCATTCAAACTAAAACCATTTCATAATAATTGGTGTATTTTTGTAGAGTTTTTATTCTCTAGTCAAATGCAGAATTTCGATTTCCATAAAACAAGGCAATAACATAGGTTTTTACTTTGTTAACGTGTATACATGACAAGAGTGGTATGAACCGTATGATATACTTGGCAGGAAGAGCACACGCAAGCAAATTTTCTTATGAAAAAGAATATGCTTGGGAATGATTTCAATACTTAGAGTTATAGGCTGATAAGTTTATTTCATAAAGTTGAAGCACCTTATTGATGAGAATCAGAAGAATCAACCTTTTGAGATAGTTTATCATTAACCAATTATCTATGCTGCATAACTGCAATCTCGAATAGATTAAATGCAGCTTTTATCAAATGTATATCTTTTGAAGCTTCGAAAGATTCAATCGTACGCTTTTTCCGTATACTATATAACTAAGGCCAACGGATTGTAAGAATTTGATTCTTGGTGCGTCTTGTGATTCTCTTTGACACAGATTCATCGCGCTGTAGACCTGAACTTTGGGGTTTATTATAAGTTTGTCATGTAAGTTGCAATTTACAATGCCTTGTGACGTGTGGGTACCTCCCTATTTGGAAACTACATACGAATTAAGATTGGACTGCACCGAGGGCTTTGTACTACGAGACATTTTAAAATTTTTTGATCCTGGTCAACCTCATATACTTCTATATTAAAAAATTGGCTCCTTTATTTTGTTGTTTGATTTTCTTTCCTAGAAAATCATTATTTACTACAACTTCATCAATAAAACGCTGAGATTTTTTCAAAGCTCGTTTCGGTATTGACGCATGTTTGTTTATGCATGCGCAATTTTGCTCCAATATGTATTAGACACGAGTTGGAGCAAATGTCCCAATTTGTATATATTAATCTACGACTATGTGCAATTATATTCAAGACAGGTATTCGACATAGTTTGGTGGTTCAGATCTGACTAGAACAAAAATGGTAATGAAATCAAAATTTGTGACACCGTTAACTCAACGATCGTCGCATTGATTGTAAATTTTCCAGACTTTGTTGTATTGTTTTCTTCTTTGCGTGTTTCAACACCTGTGTATAAAAATACTAGGAAAAAAGATACTCAAAAGAAATCAGACGAAAAGTTTTTAATGGATTATTTTATTCAATTTCAAGTTGTCGCATCTTGCGTTGTCTTCATATGGTAAATAATGTATTGTAGCTATAAGAAGTTTACAGAGTCAGAAGAATTAAGTATTGTATTGATGCGTGACTTTTGTGACTGTGGCAGTGGGGTTTGCAACGTGTAATTACCGACAAACACGTGGTTGGTATATATATCTTGATAAATACTTTGCATGACGTTACAAAAGTAAGTCGTTCCAGACTTTTCCTGCGACTGACAAGCTCCATAAAAAGGAGCATTTTGCATTTTGTAGGGTTATATATTGCTATATAATACCCTACACACACTCTACATACATGTTAGTCAGATCTCTCATTTGCTTGCTCTAAACTTCCATAAATGAATTTACTCTATTGTAATTTTGAAACTAAAGAGAGGACTAAATAAAGCTCGTAATTTTGCCTTATATAGTTAAACAGTTAACTTTGATGTTTGGCGCAAAAAAATAAGTACAATAAAGAAAGGTTTGCTGTTCACATGAAGAACATTGGAGAACTTAGATAAATTTTTGCATTACTACTAGAAGAGATCTAGCTTTCACGGTTCCAGCAGTTATGGGGATCTTGGAAGAAGGGAATTGTTCTATGAATAATGGCGATTATAAAACGGCTATTGAACATTACAATAATTGTGTAGAAGTTGCAGGCGAAAATAGCCTGAAAACGATAGCATATTTTGGTCTTGGTAACGCTTACACCCTCTCTGATAATTGGGAGGAAGGATTGAACAGTTTTAATCATTGCCTAAAGTTTTCGTCTAAAGTTGAAAGTGAATATTTTGAACATCAAGTATACCTTGGCCTGGGGAGTGTTCATTCTAACATTAAAAGATTGGAGGACGCAATGAAGAAAGATGAAACGGAATGTCTCTGCCATATTGCATTGGGAGGATTGAACAAGTTGCTTGGAAATTATGAGCAATCTTTGGAGCATTATAGAATAGGATTCTCTTTTATTGATTGCCGACGTCTACAACAGCAAGGAAATCAAGAAGAACAACAACCACAACGTCAAAAAAAAGTTGGTGGTATTAACGTTCGTAAAGATTTTGTTGACCATTACTTGAAGAGCTTGTCAATTGTTACTTCAGATGGAATTGTGAATGGAGTGTTAGCTGTTTATTGGGAATTAGCTGAATTGTTTGATAAGCTTGAGCAATGGGGAGATGCAATATATATTTATGAAATATATTTGAAGATAGTCACAGAAGATGAAGATATAGAAAAACAAAAAAATGCCATAGAGCGTTTAATGCAAATATACGAAAAGGAAGGACGACATTACTTAATGGATCCAATGAAACTGAAATTACAAGACCTCGATACGAAAAAGAAGAAAAAAGGTACAGAATCAGATGAATTCAACTTAGCTAAAAGATAAATTGTACTACGAGTCAACTTTTATTATAAATTTATTGAAACTACTTCTTTTAGAGTATCACTAAAAATGTTCGCGACAAAAATGTTTGTTATGAAATAGGCAATTTTCTTTTAACCGTATTTTTATTATTTGCTATCCTCCACTCTCTCCAGAACATATTCTTTTAACGAGTAGTTTATGACGGTTGTTTTTCTTTTATGTATTTGATTATTCATGCACATTTGCTCTCTATGAATGTAATACTTTTAATTCAATTTCAGAATTGCAGTTACAAGAATGGAAATACCTTGGTGAATCGACAAAACATAAAGAATTGTTCCAAAGACTTATTGAGTATGGGCGCGATGGCAATGACAAGGTTGAACAAGTGAGCGATCTACGTGTAATTTTCTCAGACGAGTTTTGTATCGGCAAAGGAAGTGATGGAACACGTGTTTATCTTGGACTGGGAAAAGATGGTTACGGCAAAGCTGTGAAACGAATACTTCGTGATAACTACAATGAACTAAAAGATGAAGCAAATTGTTTTGATGAAATCAATGCAAAGAAATCGAATTATGTTGTGAATGTTTTGCTAACACTGGAACTGGAAATCACTGGAAAGGAACATTTCTATTTAATCCTTGACCTATGTGAAGAATCGTTGGAGAGTTTTGTAAAATCTTCTACTTTGGAGGATCTTCAAAAATCTCTTCCCGAAATTCTCAAGCAAATTTTAAAAGGATTAGCTGATCTTCATAGCGAACCAAATCCGATTCTTCATCGGAATTTAAAACCTTCCAATGTTTTCCGAGATGCACAAGGTAAATTTCTGATAGCTGACCTTGGTATTAGCCGAAAATTGGAGGATGGCTCTAAGACATATACAAGCAACACTAACAAAGGAACTGAATATTGGATGGCTCCTGAAAATAATGAGTCGGTTGATAAAGCACGATACAAAACAGAGTCTGATGTGATGGTAGGTGTAGAAATATAACTTTGAATAATTAAATTCAATTTTTGGCATTTCGTTCACACTTTCACCTTTTCATTGATTCTAGAATGCAGGAATGGTGGCTTATTATGTTGCAACGAAAGGGAAACATCCTTTTGGACCTCTAGAGTATAGACTGAAAAACTTGCGAGATGGAAACCCTGTTGGATTGATGGAAATCGATGATGTTGTACTTAAAGATCTTCTTTCATGGATGCTGCAACATACACCCGAACTCAGACCATCTGCCGAAAAAGCGTTAAAACATCCATATCTGCAATCTGCTGAAGAGAACTTTGATATGTTGTGTGATGTGGTGAATCAACTGGAGATAGAGATAAGTGATCCTCTCAACTCAGATGTCCATAAGCAGTTAAATGATCCAGAAAATTGGATGGACCGTATCGACGGAGAAATTTTTAACAATTTCAATGACTTTGACCCTACGTGGTTAGGCTGCTTAAAATTTTTACAAAACGTTCGCGAGCAATGGCAAGATGAACCTCATCCACAACTACCGCCAAGTGAAGGCAACTATAAAAAGTATTTCCTGCAAGTTTTTCCGGAGCTTCCTCTTCTGGTGCACAGAATCATAAGGTATATCAAAAGGAAATCCACTCCAGGTCTGAAAGAAAAATTTGCTAGTAAGTTAACGATTAAAATATTTCTTTTTCGTCAATGATGTGGCTAATCAATCTCTAAAATCTCTAAGTGTAAAAATGCAACCTAGTCAGTTAGCTATTCCTGTTACACAGTCGAAGTGTAAATTTTCTGAGTTTGATTTGTCGCGATATGTATGTTTATCGGTGCATCAAAGATTGTCATGAACAAGCTATCCATTTTAAAAATTTTATCTCCAGCATCCCCTTTGACGTTATGAAATAGTTGAAACGCAAATATATTTTTTAACATATACTAATATTGATATGAGATAAACCATGAGTGAGTGTTTGCAGTGACGGGAAGAACAAGCCCCCCAGGCTGTTAATGTTAGTGCAAAGCTTATGATTAACTGTAAGGATTTTTACATTTAGACAAAGTATGACCCTCACACTCCAAAAAGTGTTTATCTTGTTGATAAAATTTTGAATGTTCCAGTATCAGCTGCTGTTGCCATAACAGTACATGGCAAGTGATCGATATGAACAATTATACCCATTAATTCTCTAGTATCGGCTACCACAATTTTATCTGAACTGATTGTTTAAATGATTTATTTATGAAATGGTTATTATGACAAACTGTGCAGTCAGTACCTATTTGAATCATTTGGGCAATGGCGGACGTTGAGTTATTTCTAATAATTAGTTTTCTTATTTTAGTAATCTTTAAAAGTAATATTTTTACTCCAATTTTAGAATTGCAATTGTTGGAGTGGAAATGCCTTGATGAATCAACTAAACATAATCAATTGTTTTTAAAAATGATTAAGTATGGACAAGATCCCAAAGTCAAGGTTGAATATATAAGCGATGTACGCGTAATTTTCTCAGAGGAATTTTGCATTGGCAAAGGAAGTGGTGGAACCCGTGTTTTTCTTGGACTAGGAAAGGATGGCTACGGTAAAGCAGTGAAACGAATGCTTCGTGATGAATGCATCAATCTTGCACATAAAGAAAAAGAAATTTTAAATAAATTAGGCGCAAAGGAATCGAAGTTTGTTGTCAATTATCACTACTTGGAAGAAGACAATGGAACAGAACATGTCTATTTAATACTGGACCTATGTGAAGAATCGCTGGAGGATTTTGTGCAATCAGAATCAAATAGTTTGGCTTATCTTCAAAAATCTCTTCCCAAAATTCTCCGACACATTTTAAAAGGATTATCTCATCTTCATAGTTGCCAAAAACCTATTCTCCATCGGGATTTAAAGCCTTCTAATGTACTCCGAGATGCACAAGGAAAATTTCTGATAGCTGACTTTGGTATTAGTCGAATTTTGAAAGATGGAGGTAAGACAAGAGTAAGTAATGCTAACAGGGGAACTCAGTATTGGATTGCTCCTGAATCATTTTGTACAGATGAAAATCCGAGTGGCAAAGGACGTTACAAAACAGAGTCGGATGTAATGGTACGTGTTTGCAATTTAAGTTTAAATTTTATTTTTTTTTGAATTTCTTTCATCATATTACGTTGTGATTTATTTTAGAATGCAGGAATGGTAGCTTTTTATGTTGCCACAAAAGGAGACCATCCTTTTAAAACTGAAGAGAATATATTGAAAGGAAACCCTGTTGGCTTGGAGAAAATAGATAATGTAGATCTAAAAGATCTACTGTCATGGATGCTACAGCTAAAACCGGAAGACAGACCATCAGCAAACGAAGCGTTAAAACACCCTTATCTACAAACCGATGAGAAGAATTTCGATTTGCTGTGTGATGTTGGGAATCAACCAGAAATTAAGAAACCATCTCCACATTCTCTTACCTTAGATGTTTGTAAGCAGTTGAATCTTTCAATAGATTGGATGGACCGTATCGATCCTGAAGTCTTTAAACATATCAATAAAGTATCCGACTCTACATGGTTAGGTTGCCTAAGATTTTTACGAAACGTTCGCCAGCATTGGTATGATGATAAAACTCGTCCACCACTGTCATGTGTTAAAGATGGAAACTATCAAAAGTATTTTGTTCGACTTTTTATGGAACTACCTGTTCTAGTTCACAGAACCATAAGATTGAGTGACTGGAAGACAAGACCTGTTCTAAAGGATCATTTTCCAAGTAAGACACAGATATAAGTTTTTATTTTCGATGGCAAGCTATAAATTAGCGGTCCATGACACTATATTTGTTATTTTCACTCTAGTTCTCCTCTTCATTTATTGTAGTTAATGCATGTATGTTTTGAATTCTGTATATTGCCATTGCAAACATTTTTTAGACAGTGCACATCCTGTCAAAATTGAAGAAGGTAAAGGAAAGAAAAGCGAAGCTGTTATTGATTACCCTGATCTTAACGGTAAATAGCTATGTAACAACAAACTAATGCTGTGTACGTGTCACTTTTCTTAAATATTCTACCAAAAACCGTAATCTCTCCACTTGTATCTGGTGCATCATTTTGTAACTTTGTGCAATTGAAAATAACGGTTCAAGCATGTGTGATAGTACTAGCAATAGTCAAAAATCTTTAGACGAGATTAACGATTTGTCAGATATCCAAAGATAGTGACGAGTACCTACGAATCATGGTGATTCAGAGACTTTGGCATATTTTTATCGTTGGTAAAAGAAGCTTATAGCTTATTATGTTGTCAAAATCGTAAAGAACACATATTCAATAGTAAATATTGCGTATCCTTTGCTTTAAGTCAGCAAATGCTTTCACGTCGTATGCATTAATGCTGAAATTGCGAAAAATGCTTGCTTAGAAAAAGAAGAGAGTTTTCGATTAGAGTTATTAATCCTTTTAGCAGCTCATTTCACTTATTTTATTTCTTTGCATTATTTATCCTAAGTGTAAATGGTCAGATCAAATGACGAATGGAAAAACAAGAACATTATCGTTTTCATGTTAAAGCTAAAATGTGCCACATCAATGAAGTCTTTTTATTGTCTGCAAAAGAGGTTTATGGGAAAGCAATTGGCAAGAAGGAAATCAATGATACCACATTTCAAGATCCTCTTTTATGTATGTTTTAATTTGAGGCTCTTAGGCAAGTTAGATTAAGTAACCAAGTTGGATATTACATGGCCAGATTGCTATGAATTTTCATTGGATTTTACAATGTTATATAATTAACTATTTTTTTGTCTTCAAATGACTAACGATCTAAAACTGAAGGCGAATGAAATTTAAATTTGATTTCAATACATCATGTTTGTTTTGTAAAATATACAATAAATTTTAACATGTGTAATTTAATAGTACATAGCATTTCTTCAAGTATAACAATGTATAACAATACATATGATATAACTATATATAACAATATAATATGGATGTCATGACTTGTAACGCAATTAAGGAGTTGCTCGATCTGTGCTCAAAATCCGTTGTACTTTAGCGTTATATAAGTCTTTCGTATGAGCTCCGAGCGTGAGTTCAATGTACTAGAACGCTATTCAGTTTATGTACGTCAATACAGTACACTGCAAAGGGTAAAAGATTGATATGCATAAAAAGAACAACTTATTGAATTGGGGAAATTGGTAATATTTGAATAAAATGACACTTTCATGTGAGGTTGTGACCATTTCCTAGTATTTCTTTTGTTGCAGCTTTGAAATTGTTAAAAGAAAATCTGTGTACGTTGAGGTAATGATGACGAAGTCAAAGTTGTTGAATTTTTGTTTATTTTGGCTTAGTTGTGTTGCATTTTTCTTGAGACAAAAGATGGTGTATTTTAAGCCACAAGCTTGCATTTATGACTTTCAGTCTTTTAAATACTTCGCCAGATCTGTCTCTTTCAGTCATTTGTTACTTGTTACGTCAAGATCTACATTCTCAGTTTATTTCCATTGATTCTATTATTGTAGTGTGTATCATTGTAGTGTGTATGGAACTTCAAAGTATGAATACTGCCGAGGGACTCTAGCTTATTAATTGCCTCCATGCATGTTTCGTTATTTTAATTGAATTTTTGTTTAGTTTACCTAAATATTATAACATTGTATTAGCGCCAACTCTAGAATTTTCTTTCTGAATTAAATGATTAAATTCCTAAAAATGCGAGACGGGGGTCGGCGGCCATATTTTTTAGCCACTAATCATTCGTAAATCGTTATCCTATGAATATGTATCCAGGGAGTAAGTTGTTGTATAGTAAGTGGTATTCTGTGCATTCTCTGTGACGATGGTGTTAGTATCAGAGTTGTAAATTGACACGTAAATAAACCTTTTCATAAGTATTACTTTTGGGAAGTCTTGTCTTGGCTTTGTCTTTGTCAATCTTTCGGTTTGCCGTTTGTATGTGAACAATTTTGAGTTATTTCTATCAGCGATAGGTGTTGTGAACATTAATGTAAATGAAGAAACAACTTCTTAGTTTCGAGCCGCTTAAGTTTGTGTTCTCTTCTGTGTGGTAAATATAACTAGAATATATCGACCTCTGTAAAAACATGAGTTCACGACTGTAAGAAGTATTCAAGATTGTAAAATAGATAATGACATAGATAAATACATGACATGCATGTACATAAAAAAATACATGAATCAATAAAGTAGATAGAGTTCATAAAACGCTGTAAGCGCTGCATGTGTGACAATAAAATGCGTAAGGGTCACTTGCTTGACAAATTAGCAGTCATTGATATCTTATAATTTTGCCAAAAACACCCAAATTGTGACCAAAGCGACTGTACAGTGTGTTTCAGCCTTTATGCTTCATTGTAGCTTCCTGGTGAACATGGGTCAAAGCTCTTGGAATGACGAAAAACCATTATGAAAGAAGTAAAAGTAAGCCTTGGTTTTATTAAGTACATATAGTGAATGTAAATTGCATTGGGAATGCAAGCCATATAAATTAGTTCTTAGTCATGCCACTTGTGCAAAGCAAAGAACTTGCTGTTTGAATTTAGATTCCCCACATTGTTCACATGTCTTGTGAATGTTGTGAAAATACTTATTTAAAGACATATTTATCAGTTCTCAATCTCTCTGGTGTGATCTACAATCAAATAGAATTATGTACTTCACTTCTTTGCCAGGTTAAGACATTTGTCAAAATAAGAAGTTCTTGTGTTAACAGTATATAAATTGGGTTTGGTTCATAATATAAATCCTAAAAGATTTGACTCCTCTCCAATCCCTGTAGGCCTGGTAGCCCAGCAGGTAGAGCGGCGGACTAGTATCCCAAAGGTGCAAGTTCAGTCTCTTCCAAGTCAGATGTTTTTCATGTGCATATTAAAACTGTGTTAGGATTTATATTAGGGAGCTTTAGCAAGAGTACGACTACGACAACGAGTACGAAGTTTGACCGTGTAAGAGAATGGCACGAGGAAGGTTGTTGTCGTTGTCGCTTCGTCAAAATTTTGTTTTAGTTGTAAACAACAGAACGAGCCTTTTTATTGTGAAAATACCGACATTTGCGAAGCAGCTACGGCTCTATTTGTCAATAATAATATTAACGAATCAGTAATACTAATTTTGCGAGAATATAGGACTCTTTAGACTGAAAAATCTTCACTATTTTAAGTTTTATGTACGATATATTTGTACGATTTTATTGTTTGTTTACCTTTCAATTTGCGTACGAAATACTTGAAAGTTTTGCTGGTCATATTTTCTTTTTTAATGCACATCTGCACTCAAAAAAGGTTCTAAATTAAAGCCTGGATGCTCGCAAATAGTACTGTATTACCTATTTTCTTTGCTTAAAAAGACATCGTAGTCACGACTACGAATTTTTTACAAAACATCGTACTCAGATCGATGACGGCTACGTGTTGTTGTTGTCGCAACAATGTTTTCGCGCTAAAATGACGTAAATCGTACTCGTAGTCGTACTCGTAGTCTTTGCTAAAGCTCCCTATTATATATAGATTGGGTTTGGTTCATAATAGATATCATAGCATTTTAAATCTTGAAGCTTTATACAAAAAAATCAGTTTGGGGCTCTACAGATATAACATGAAAATTTTGTAAGGTTTATCTATTGGCATGAATGCAAAGCTGTTATTTTGATCTGATGAAATTTTGGAAAGAATCAAATGCTTCATAATCAAAATAGAAGATTTGCGCACACGTGAAATCTTTAGCTATGTGTGAATAAGTTTGTGATATTTTGTTTATACTGAAAATAAAATTAAAAATGCAACCAAAATCTGAAATGCCAAATCTAGCACAAAATAAATGAGTAATCAAAATTAATGCACCATTTTGTACAACTTTATGCACCAAAATATGTGACAAGCAAAGTGAAAAATTAAAATAACTTGTATACTTGTTTTTGTCAAATATGTTTATGGTCAGATACATTGTTTTTTATTTAAACAGGATTAGGTAGGAGTTGGAACGGCAATAGAAGTCAAGGGACTGAAAGTGAATGAGGCAAAGACGAAGGGCATGAAATGCTCGAGGCAGGTGGAGGTGAAGGACAGTGATAAATGGCCATGTGGTGTGTGTGGGAAAAGAGTTGAAGTGAATTCGATAATGTGTGGGAAATGCAGTAAGTGGGTTCATGGAAGATGTTCAGGTGTCCGTGGTGCATTAACAAGAGTAACTGATTTTGAGTGCGGGACGTGTCGAAGTGGTGGGCGAGTCGCGATTGAACGGTTTGAACTGGGTGACGTGAGTTTGGAAGGTGTATCAGAGTTTAAATATCTGGGCGATGTGTTAAATGATGGTGGAGGGAGCAAGCGGTGAGGAACAGAGTTCAAGCAGCGTGGTGGAGTTTTAGAGAGTTGTCGAATGTTGTGCGGAAAGTCGACTTCGTTGAAGCAGAAGGGAGAATTGTATGTGAAGTGTTTTGGGATATGGAGCAGAAGAGGACCTGAGAAGATTGGCGTCGACGGAAAGGAGAATGTTTAGGATGATGTGTGGTGTAACGTTGATGGATAAGATTCGAAGTGAAGAGAAGAGAAGGTGGAGTGTATCGAGAATTGGGTAAGGCGCCAGCGTTTGAGGTGGTTTGGGCATGTGGAAAGGAGGGAAGAAAGTAAACGTTGAATGGATGGAGTCCGCAAACGAGTTAGACCGAGAAAGAGATGGATGGATGCTGTGAACAGTGATATGAAGGCGATGGGTATAACGAGAGATATGGCGAGAGATAGAGACGTTTGGCGTGGAAAAATTCATGGACCGGTCAACCCCCCTGGCGGGGATTAATACTGGCCGGTATACAAATGTTGTTTGTTTGTTTGTTTGTAGGTAGGAGTTGATCTATTGGTCAATATCCAATACCATCATACAAAGGATTTGTGTAAAATATTGATACTAACACCAAGAATTGCTTTGCTATTACTCATTTATATACTTGGCAATTTAATACCTCATGAAATACCTAATTGTATTTCAGAAAATGTTTTCAAGATTTTTCAGTTTTTGAGAAATCATTGTTAAAATTAGTAAAATTACCCCTATATAATTGGAAGAAAGTTTTGATAAATTAGATTGTTGTATGGTATTGTGACCAGGAATATACCGGGCGGAAAGCGAATTTTAAATATAAATATCAAAGCCCAGCAAAGTGCTTTCAAAAGAGCCATTAAATGCATAAAAAGAAATATTTATTTAAAAGTGTAACGTTTCATCTTGACTCTCAAGACATCATCAGACAATATTGAATTACAAGTATGGAGGGATACATATATAATACTTATTTACATAACATTAAATTACATGGTGGGATGAAAACATGAAAGCAAATATGGGATAAGATGGTATGACGTGGGATGAGTAGAAATCACAAAAGAAACAAAAAACACACAATCATAAAGTATACAGACATGAGGACGGACGAAATTAGATTAAAGCAACTGAAGGACAATGGAGTTTCTTTGGACATTAAGAGATGGTTTCATTTTGGGGATTAAGAGGCTTTCGTGAATAAGAAGTTCTTGTGAGTCTAAGCATGAAGAAAGTATTTTAAAATCCTCGAAGGTGGTGGTGTGTCCTGTGGATTTAAGGTGTGATAGTATGGAGGAATGACAGGGATGTTTAGAAGGTTTACCAGTCAAAGGGGTGATGCCCAAATGCTCTGAAATTCGAGTGTGTAGGTGGCGGGTGGTATGACCCACGTACGATGCGGAGCAGCATCGACACTTAAAAGAATAGACAACATTTGATTTCAGAGTTTTGGGCACGACGGGGATGTTAGTAAAGAGTGAAGAGATGTCATATCTGGCCATTACAACATTATCAGTGTTGATGTTCAAGGATAAAATTTCCTGGGTGAAAGAAAAGGAATCTTTGATCATGAAAGAATTGGACGAGATTGGAGTAAGAATGGGGATGAAAAATTTAGCTATCTTATACGAGTAATGATTTATACATGACAGGATAGGCCTTAGTGGTATGTCGGTTTTATGTACTTTGGGTAGTCAATAGAAAATACCTATTCGTGAACCTGTTGGGTTGCGTACATGTGTTTACAGGGAAATTGCGTTTTTCTCCACAGTTCACAGCTACACTTTGGAACACTGAGATTGATTTTATATTATTTAGTTTTGTCTGATGAGCTCCTAACGCAGAAATCACCGTTGCTATTGTCGATGCAATCAACATCATTATCGCGAAATTTGCGCGATGCGA